AGAGGCTGACAAGCAACAACGGGGGCAGCAGCAGCTAACCCCCCCCCGAAGATAAGTGGGGCAGGAGCCAGTGCAGCTGCAGAGGATCCGGAGGGGAAGCCCCCGGATCCCTCTTTGCTGAGTTGAGCGAGGAGCCGTGCTCCCGAGATGTGTGAACAGGGAGCCAGCTAGGGGGGACCCTTCCCCCAGGTGACAAAGGGGATCCCCTCAGAGGCTGCTTCTAGGGGCTTGCCCCAGAGCACCAGGATCCGAGACCCCCCCCAGCGCGCGGGGGGGTGGGGGGTGGGGTGTTAGCCGGCAGGCACTTCCGGGTAATTCGGGTTACCTGATTGGCTGCTCGGCCACTGCTCAGCCACCTGATTGGCTGCTCGGCCACCGCAAGAAAATTCAAACCGTGGGCTTTAAAAAGCCCGCGGTTTGACTCAGTGCCCAGCAGTTGGGTGCAGTAGGAGGGAGAAGAGGCTGACTGGGCACACATGTGGGTTCTCAGCATACGTGTGCCCCCTGCAACGTACCTGAGGCAGCAGAGCACCTGACCCCCCGAAGTTAAGTGGGCTAGGAGCTGGCGCAGCTGCAGAGGATCCGGAGGGGAAGCCCCTGGATCCCTCTTTGCTGAGCCGGGCAGGGAACTGTGCTCCCAAGCCACGCACGAACAGAGCGTGCAAACAGGCGCACTCTGTAAGGGCGTGCCTGCATTTGCGCAGGTGTTCGTGCGAGGCAGGCGCACAAAGAGTAAGTGACAAGAAGGAGCACTTAGCAAGAGCGATGATGACTCGAAGCTCAGCAGCTAAGGTAAGAGCATGGGATGCAGCTGCAGCTCAGATGGCGCTGCCCACCCGTGGTTTCTCTGAGCTGTCTACTCAGACAGAGCCCTGCCCCCCTGTCTGCCGGGGTGGCCTGGCGGTGACCCTGCCATCAGGGGAGGGGGGGAGCCCTCTTGCCTGTCCCTCATGTGCCCACCTTCGGGCCTTGGAGGAGCAGGTGAGGGAACTCTAGGAGGTAGTGAGCAGGCTAAGGGGGATCAGGGATGATGAAGCTGTGATTGACAGGCATTTCCATTCCCTACAGCTCCAGATGCCCACGGGTGAAACTCCATGCAAGGAGTCTGCAGCAGGGGAATGGAAGACAGTCACCTCTGGATCCAGGCAGCAGGGCCTGGTGTCTGCTTCCCCATTGCATGTGGGGAACGGATAGAGGGCCCTGACAACCATGGAGGAGACAGAGGAGGAGCATTTTCCTGCAAAGGAGGTGATCCCTGTAGCCCCTACCGGGCAGGCTGGGGGATCACTGCCCAGGCAAAAGAAGAAACATTGAGTGATTGTGGTGGGCAACTCAATCCTGAGAGGCACTGAGAGGCCGATCTGTCGAACAGATCCTATGGTGAGAGAAGTCTCCTGCATGCCTGAAGCTAAGATCAGGGACATCACTGAGGTAATTCCTGCTCTCATTAAGCCCTCTGACTACTATCCCATGGTCCTTGTCCATGTGGGAACCAACGATGCAGCTAGGACCAGCCCTGACCGCATCATGAAGGACTTCCATGAACTGGGAGACAGCCTCAAGAAGACTGGAGCACAGGTTGTATTTTCTTCCATCCTTCCAGTTGGCAGCAGCCGGAAACACCAGGGTGCCCGCATCAAGGAAGTCAACCGGTGGCTCCAGAGTTGGTGTCTTCAAGAGAGCTTCGAATTCTACAGCCACGACCAGCACTTCCAGGGAGGAGGCTTCCTGGGAGATGATGATCTTCATCTCTCTCCCAGACATAAGTATCTGTTCGCCCGCAGGTTGGCTGATCTCCTCCGAAAAGCTTTAAACTAGGCTCAACGGGGGTCGGGAAACCGGTTGTCAAAGAGAGCCCAGGGTTGGTAAAGCACAAACAAGACGCCAGATCACACCAGGTAAGTATTAAGGGGTTGGTAAGCCATAAACAAGGCACCAGACCGCACCAGGTAAGTAATAAAGGGAACACACACCATCAAGGTACAGGGGCACCAAGAGCCCCCTCTGGGGGACTAAAATGTCTTTATACAAATGCCAGGAGTATGGGAAACAAGCAAGAGGAGCTCACACTCTTGCTTGCTAGCACCCAGTATGACCTAGTTGGACTAACCGAAACATGGTGGGATTCTACACATGACTGGATGATAGGCATTGAGGGGTATAGGCTGTATAGGCACGACAGAGTGGGGAAAAAAGGTGGGGGGGTAGCACTCTATGTTAAGGAGCAGTATACATCTTCCACCATTAAGGCAGGGGTGGAAGAGGGGAACACCAAGGCATTGTAGGTCAGGATCCAGGGGGGGCCAGGGGAAAAGGACTTGGTCGTGGGGATCTACTACAGGCCTCCTCAACAGGATCAAGAGCTAGATGAGGCATTCTCCAATGTATTCTCCGGGCAGCTAGCAGACGCCACACAGGCAAGGGAGGCGGTGGTCATGGGAGATCTAAAAACTACCCAGATATCTGCTGGGAGGAGCAGACAGCCAAAACAAGCTGCTCATGGAGGTTCTTACACTGTGTGCAGGTCCTCCACCTAACCCAGGTGGTGTCTAGTCCCACCAGGGGTAGCGCTTTGCTTGACCTGGTCTTAGCAACAGGGGATGATCTCGTGGGGAACATGCGAGTTCATGGTAGCCTGGGAGACAATGACCATCTCTTGGTCAAGTTCACTATCCAGCGAAGGGTGGGTAAAGTAACTAGTGGGGCTAAGGTGTTGGGCTTCAGAAGGGCCAACTTTAGCATGCTTAGAAGGCTAGTTAGTGAGGGGATGCAACTCAAGACCACAGAGCAAATGGGGGTCCAGGAGGGTTGGAGGTCTCAAGGGAGTGATCCTTGGAGCTCAAAAGGAGTCTATCCCATTACGTAGGAAGGGAAGTAAGGGGGCAAGAAAGCTGGTTGGTGGCTGAACAGGGAACTCCAGGAGAGTCTGGGGGCAAGGAAAGATGTATAGACAATGGAAGCAGGGAGCAGCCACCAAGGAGGAATATATCTCCCTGGCATGTTATTGCAGGGAATCCGTTAGACAGGCCAAGGCAGGGCCTGAGCTCAGGCTGGCTTCAACAATCAAGGACAATAAGAAGTCCTTCTTCAGGTATATAGCGGGCAAAAGGAAAGCTCAGAGCAACATAGGGCCCAGCAGGACAAATCAGGACAGTTGGTGGTTGATGCAGGGGAAAAAAGCAGAGCTCTTCAATGAGTCCTTCACTTCAGTATTTCTATGTACCGACCAAGCCAATTCCCCCACCTCGATCATTGACGGATGTCCACATGGCACCAGTCCGCCTACAGTTAGTTCTGAAATAGTTAAGGAGCTCCTGGAGGAGCTGGATGGGTACAAGTCAGCAGGGCCAGATGACCTCCATCCACGGCTGCTGAAAGAATTGGCCAGTGTCATAGCTGAGCCGCTGTCTTTTATTAGGCCAACCGCATGCTTGGGGTAGATACGATAATGTCATTACAAGCTGTATCGTAATACATATGCAGATAGTCAGAATTAGGTTTGCATGGACAACTGTCACTTGAGCACTTTTTAAGTTTAAGTGTTTGAATTTACAATCAAAATAATATTGTTCCATGCAGTTCTTGTGTGTGCAATCTCAAGGTTTATTTTTTGGGGGAAAAGAGGGCAACAATTCTATTATGTACAACTGTAATAACCTCCCATTAATGGTTCAGATTTAGCAAGCATTTATTTCTGGATTCGATCCCAGTACACCTATGTTCTCATCATTTCCAGAGAACTCTGTAGTCCTTTAAAGAGTATTATCAACACTGCACTTTAGAGAACGACACTTTTCCACCTGAGCCAGCATCCCACATTATGAGATGCAACGGAAATACTGGTTCATGTTTTAGTTCTTAAACATGCAATAAGACACAAGACTTTAGAGACAGGACTACAGAGAAAACGTCTGTGTAATTTGAGCTTTGAAAAAGAACTGTACATAAAGCTAAGAACCAGCTCTGTGTGAATGACCTTTTAACCAAAAGCCATCTTAATTAGTACCATCAGTACTTAATGTACTTCACTTCTGGATTTCACAAAGCCTTGTAGAATACTATCATTCACATCACTGTTAGGCTTTGTGTACTATGCAGCGGTCTACTCCAAATGAATGCTGTATCAGAAAATGCACCATCAATTGCCCTGCACAAAACAGTTCCTACTACAATATAACCTCACAAATCCGGCCTTCTCAGGACCGAGCACCTGCCAGAAATTTGGAAATTCTGGATTTTTGAAACTGGAGTGGCGGCGGGGGGTGGGGGGGGGGGGGGGGGGGGGGTGTTGAGAGAGCTGAATCTCTTCAGCATTCACAAGAGACGGCTGAGAGGAGATCTTGTGGCCGTCTATAAATTTATTAGGGGAGGTCAACGGGGAATGGGGGACGCGCTGTTTACTAAGGCATCCCAGGGAGTGACTAGGAATAACAGGTGTAAACTAGTTGAGAGTGGATTTAGGTTAGATATTAGAAGAAATTTTTCACAGTAAGGGTGGCCAGGATCTGGAATGGGCTTCCAAGAGAGTTGGTGCTATCACCTAGCTTGGAGGTCTTCAAGAGGAGGCTAGATAGTCACCTGGCTGGGGTCATCTGACCTTGGTCCTCTTTCCTGCCAGGACAGGGGGTCGGACACAATGATCCATTGTGGTCCCTTCCGACTCTACAATCTATGAATCTATGAAAACAGGGATTGGAGCCTTTGGTTTCAATTTTAATGGGTGCTTCTTTTGACTGACTACAAATTTAGCCTGCCAGGTCCTAGAGTGAGTTTCTCAGCTAGTCAAAGCCAAATCTTTACTTACATGCTTCTTTTTTTTAACCTATTTAGCATACAGAAAGGACTTTTCAAAAAAATCAATAAATCTGAATCAGTCATTATTTTAATTAACCCTTGTAATTCAATTTTATTAATATCTAAACACTGAACTAGGTTATCCTACAAAAACGCAGTTCCCAAATACCCATAGTTACAGTACTTTGGATTGATATTCAGTGTACCTGAGGAAGTCACACCCATTTGAGGAATAAGCTGCTCTTCCCTGCAGTTCTCACGACCTGGAACTAATCTCTGGTATCTTGCTGGATGAGGGTTGCCATCAACGTCAACCAAAAAGGGAGGGGGCATGAGATGTGGCGCCTGTTGTGTCTGTTCATCTAAGACAAAGTTGTTGGCATCACGGATAAGAGGCCGATAATCACTGTGAAAGAACATCTGATCTGCTATCTGTAACAAAGCCAATTTTATGTTTTATTACAAACAGTTAAAAAGATGAAAAATAGAACTATTCAAAACAAGAATGTCTGCAAAAAGCATTCAATTTAAGTAAGATTTGTAGCAAAATAAAATGATTATAAAAGTAAAGTAACTTTTACTCCCTTACAGGGGAAGAGCTAACAGGCTAATATTTTTCCAAATCTAATGCTTACAGTTTTTGTCCTATATACATTAGAGAGGGGAAAAAAAAGAATTATTTTAAAAGCTATAGTGATGTGGCAGAAAACAGGATAAAACTGGCTTGAACAGTTTACAAATCATGATGCATTGTATTTCTGACAGCTACAGCTATATTACTGCATTTTAGGAGCTACCTGGTTGGAGGAAAATGAGCAGGAAATTATTTACACCAATTCAGTCATCACATTTTGTCAAAAGAAGTTTTAACACAACTAATCTGTTTCTATTATATGTTATAAACTTGAAAAAGTCTGTCTTCAAAAGAAAATGAAAACTGATCTAAATAGTGTCAGGTTTACAATGTCAATCCATTACTGCTGGTAGCCTACGCAAGTATCAGAAAACATCTAGGATGCATAGGAATAACTAGTAAAAATTATAGAACATACAATACATATATATTAGGTATCTGTCCTCCTAAGAATTTTGTGGGCAGGCGATGCCATAAAAATAATGTACCATGATCTCGCTAATCTAAACAATAATTAGAATTCTAGCTTTCTTATTTATAACAGGACTAATACAGAACCAGTCAGGTCATGTTTGAAAGACAGGGTCAAATCGAGAAAGGGTTCCATCCACAGCATACCAACTCTAACCACATTAAAAGTGTTACACATTTCACTCTGTTTCCCTTCTAAGTGGCATTTAAGCTCCCTCTTTTGTTTGAAACTGGATGGAATTTAGTTTTAGGATAACATGATGGACAGATCACAGCTGAATGGGAGTTAGAGAGCATCAGCAAGCTACAGAAAATGTCAGTGTGGTAAAAATGCATGTAACAGTACAAAACAAAGAACTAAATTATACCTTTCTTCTTGGGGTGGTACTTTAACTTTAAAGTTTCATTAAAAATATTTGTTTGAGCACATTTTTTGAACTCATAACATGGGCATTTTTTGCACAATACCTTGTCATATTTGCTACTGGAGCCAAAGCCAAAAATCAAAAGGTGACCATGAGAGTCTGTACATGCAAAATGTTGACCATCAGGAGAGCACTTGCAGTCAAAAACTGCACCATGTCCTTGCCCTTCAATCTGAAATACAGCAACAGACAAAATTATTTATTTTTTTTAACCAAACATGGGGGGTGGCTAAATTATAATCCTTAAAATTATGATGCTGATCTGTATGAAAATATCCAAAAACAATATATACTCTTAGATGGAAGTTATTTCTAGTACACTGTTTACTTTTTAGCCATTCACTTTTCAGTGAATTGCATAGCAATGCTCATGAAAGATGCCAGATTGATAGCAACTGACAGACTTTATCCACAAAATAGGCATAGTACAGGAAGTGACAGTAAAACTTTCCCCTTTGATGTCCTGCTGTTAAACCTAAACAAAGAGCTGGGTCCAGTTCAGGGTTTCAGTCACCACACCCATTCAGTCCTCTACCTTTCTGCTAAATTTGCCAAGAAGCACCACAGCAATAAATGCTTTACAATACTTGCCCACTAAAAATGCACTGAAATTACCAGCCCACATATACAGATTAGCTTTGTGCTTCTACACTTCCTACTCATATTTTCTTGTAGGAGGGACAGGTTGAGGGAGATTTAGATTGGTGTGGTCTTAACTCCAGTTTTTATAGATCTGCAAATATTTTAAAAAAGTAATTTTTACCTGATACTCATTTTCTGTTTTCCAGTTCCATTAAGCCAGAACAAATGGTTTTTTGTTTTTCCCTGCAACCTGTCAATCAAGCAGAGGTGACCAATCACCACTCTGAATTTTTATGCCTTCAGCACCTCTTCAAATAGCCCCTTCCTATTCTCCCCAGGAATGAATTTTTGCATCATCTTTGAAGAGACAAAACTTCTTTCCTAACTATGGCAGGGTTATAAAAAAACTGATAGAAACAACATAATTAAAACCACACATATAATACTGTTCACTTCTATAGTACCTTCTCACTGAGGCTTATCAGTACCATTTTTAAAAGTCACTGAATTAAACCTCGCAAATTCTCATGAGCTAGGTACTATTATCTCCATATTACAGCCTAAAAGGTCAAGTGTCTTGCTCAAGGTCATGCATGTATTAGTGGCAGAACCTTCTCTCTCTTCCCAGTCATTTTAATCATTAGATAATATTCTCATACAGAGGGCTCTCATCAAAATGAAGTGGGTTTTTGGATTAATTAGTAAAAATGGAACACAAAACAGTTCTCTCAAATGTAGGTTCTGTTTTGCTAAAAGAGTCCTTCTAGAAAGTTACCTTAACATCACATCAACTAAAAAAATAGAATCAAATTTAGGCTTAGTGAACGTGTAGATGTGAAGTAAATTAGCTTTACTGATTATTTTATTTGTTTTGTTTTTTGTTTGTTTGTTTTTTTAAAGCAGCTCACCATTTTGCTCAATAAGGAAATTACAGCTCTAGTAGGGCAGGCCCTTTACTTCTGCAAAGGAATAAGCCTTGCAGATTCATACTAAAGCCCTATTTAGCCATCAGGAAAAAAGGTAATATAGACTTTAGTTCCCACAATAGCCTCCAAGAAAATAAAAACACAATACCAAGCTTCCTAATGATAACATCCTCACTAATTCAACTTCAGGATGCTGCTCAGGCTTAAGACATTTTTAAAGACAAAGACATTTTCATAAGACAAAAGGCAAGAACTAGAAAGAATGGATGTACTGGTTATCGTGAAATGATGAGTTTTAGAATAAGGTTTTTGCCTCTCTTAGGAGAGATGCCTTGAATGGACCAGTCTCAAGAAAAAATATAAAAAGCTCTGATCCTTTCTTATAAATACCAGAATGCAGCTTCTCTAGCTATTAGTACCATATAAGTGCTTTGATTTCAGAAGTTGCCAAAAATCTTTCTAATCCAAAATTGTTTTGGGAAGGATGGTAGGAGGTTCTACTAGATGTGGCAGGCAACAGATTTCTTCACTAAATTCTTCAAATTTAAAAAGAGTTGATGCTATTTTAGACTTGATTTTGGCAATTAGTGTGAACATCAGAGAGGAGCTGGATGTAGAAAATAAACCGGGATTTAGTGATCCAATGTAAATTGAATGAAAAGATAAATACAGGTCCTTAACTTAGAATGTTGTGTTTAAAGAAGGAACACTTTGTAAAACCAAGAGAACTTAGTTACATGAACTAGACTGAAGTTTAAGAACGTGAATGTAGAAGAGGTCAGGCACACAAAAAACGTACGTGGAACAAGCACAGCAAGTAAGGGGAACACGTGCATGTAAGATCTTCAGCCTTAAATGAATGAATAAAATCACCTCAAAAATGATTTAGAGTCCATAAGAAATGGAAGAAAATAATACAGCAGTCCTAGAGTGATGTGCCCTAAAGGTCAAAAAGCATTGGGTGGGGTACAGCAAGGATTGCCAAAAATCAAGCTGAATTAGGACCTTGCAAAGAAACAAAATAGCAAAAGGTTCTTTATTTATATAAACGAAGAGACAAAAAGAAAAAGGAGTGCAGTTGCTATGTAGTGACAATGGGGTAGAGATTAGAGAGAATGCAGGCACGCTCAAAAACAAAAAAGCAGTTTTCAATAAAGATAATTAGCTAGAACATGGAAGAAGAGGCAGGACAGCTAGTGGGAGGTGAAAAATTAAATGAAGCATAACTCAAGAGTGCTTAATGATTTCTAGTTAGGGAGCCAAATAATCTCCACTCCAAAATTCTGAAAGAATTAAACACATGAAGTTGTAGATCTTGATAAATCAATTAAAAATATCTGCTTGAAACTGTTGGGGAAGGGGACTGTAGTATTTATTTTTTAAGAATGGGAAGAAAAACGATTTGGGTAATTACAGGCCCATTAGTATACAAGAGTTTAGAACAAATTTTGAAGGGAAAAAAGAAAGGACAATGTGTAATCAAAAGAGTTTACAAAGGCTGATCACACCAACTAACTTTTTTTTTTTTAATAAGAAAACTGCTTTGTAGATAAAGCAAATGTAGTAAGATCTAATTATCTAGATTTCAGTAAAGCATTTGATCCAGTACTAGAGGATAATTTATTAATTCACATAAAGATAATCATTAATATGAGAACTGTAAGAGATTAAGAAACAGGCTAAAGAAAGTATGACAAAAAAAAGATGTAGGGCTGCTACTAGTGATGTAACTAGTAACACGTGTTACTTGTGTTGTAACTAACAAAACTTCCTCATAGATCTGCCTTGGGACCAATCTTATTTTTTTCATTCATAACCTTGATACCAGAAATAAGAACTTATTAATTAAATGTTTACAAAACAGAAATGGAAATAATTATAAATAAAAAGGAAAGTTGAAGCATTATAGTAAAAGAACTGGATGACCTTAAGAGTTGGAGATGCAAAATCAGAATAAGATTATACACATGACCATGCACATTAGTATTAATACTATTTTTTTCTTTAAACTGGGAGTTCCTCAGTTGGAAGCAATGGAGGACATAAAAGACCAAGGTATGCTACTAGGACACAGGATTACTATGTAATAGAGCCATGAAAAAAGGCAAATGCAATCCAAGGAAGTATGGGGAGAGATATTTCTGGCTAAGTATGACTGACACTGGTTGAGGCACTGGTGAGACCTTATCTGGACTACTGCATACAAATTTGTGTCCAAAATTAAAGAAAGATTAATTAAATTTAGAACAGATGCAAAGACAGACTACAAGGATGAAGAACACAATGGACGGCCTATTTTATGAAAGGAGATTAAGAGAACTTTTTTTATTAAATGAAGCATAATTAACAAAATGAACACTAACAAGGGATATAGCTGCTGTCCATAAATACTAGTGACGGAAAGGAATATTCAAGTTAAATGACAATATAGGGACAAAAACAAAACGTGAATTAATCAGATTTGAATACTTCTCAATAAAAACTATAAGATGCATCTCCCTCTCAGAAGAGTAAGCTTTTTGGAACAACCTTCTACTAGGAGGAATAGGGACAAAAATCCTAACCATTTTTAAGACGAAGCTTGATCAGTTTAGGGAAAGGAGATGGGATAGGATTGTTTGCAAAGACCTCGCCAGTCCTATGTTCTTATTTGTCTTGAAGGAGTTTCTAGGATAGTCTTTGACAACAATGTATTCAATATGTTTTGCTTATAGCCTGGATGTTAGCTATATATTTAAAAAAAACAATCAATCAGAGATGAACATATCCATAGAAGGATATATATTGGTACGTGTTCTGTCAAGATTTTCAAATGCCATTCCTTTTAGATGTTGTACATCCTCTCAGGCATTTCATCAAGGGTAAATTCTAGAAAATGAGCATTAGCTTTTTCTTGAGCTAAAAGAGTATTAAGAGGGCTTCCATTAGGAATCTCAGTTCTCATGGTTCCTGGTCTATTTATAAAGACTAGATAAATGAGTCTGTGCTTGCCCATGATATGATAAAGAAAGAGCATCACAAAACTTTAAGAACAGAAGTAAGTAGAACCACCTTGCTTTTTAGTAGATTACTGAAAAACAAAGTTTTTTTAAAGATCTTTATCTTAAATTACTTTACATCTCAAATATGTTCCCAGACCATGAAACCTGCATCAAGGTCAAAATAGTCCAGTGTGATCCCAGAAAAAAAATAATTTATTGATCTACAATGAAATTGACCAATAGGAGGGAAAAAAACCTTGATTCTAAATCCCCAATACTAAAAGTGTTCAAATGAACAGCTGATTTTCTCCCCAATCTGGCCCATAACAGCAACTGACTATACAAAAAAAATTGGGCTCTGATCTCCAGCAATCATATTTCCAAAAGGGAATCCAGTCCCCATATATGATAATGGCTGATGAGTTGCACATGGGCTCAGAATGCTCTCCTCAGAGTTGATCAGAGCTTGCTAGGAGAAAAAGTTCCACATGGACAAATTAGTATTCCCAAGAAACAAAAAGGCATCTTTCAATTGGAGTGATGATGCTGTGAAGAGCAGCTGCAAAGTTTATCAGATTACACTGAAAGTATCTAAGTCTAGCATTATAGGTCTGGGAATTAGGTTGATGAGATCAGTAAAAAATGACTTTTTGTAAGCCAGAAAAAAAGCATTTTGTCTAAAT